ATCTATCTATCTATCTATCTATCTATCTATCTATCTATCTATCTATCTATCTATCTATCTATCTATCTATCTAAGAAAGATTCACTGAAAGAAAGGTCGTCATTCGAGAAAGCATAGACGACACAGCAGAAATAATGGAACCAAAATGAAGAGCGGGTAATAAATCTCTTCAGAGAGAAAATGAAAGTGTGTGATTTTTAGTACGCAGACATAAGTCAATTTAGGAGAAGCCCTGAAATTGTTCCTTTTTACAGACTGCAGCCTCTGTGGGGAAAATAAAGGCTTCACAGAGACATCTGTGACTTTTTTTTTTGCCCGCAGCAAAGACTCTAAAAAGATGAGGATAAACCAAACCAGGTAGCTATTGCAGATGAGGCCACAGTAAAGTCGGTGCGTATATGGGTGTGTTTAGCTGAGTGTGTGTGTGTGTGTGTGTGTGATAGAGAGAGAGACAGACAGAGAGACCAACGACTTAGATTTGCCCTCACCTATTAGACATGCAGGTTTTGCAGTTGGGTTTAGAGTCAAACCAAAGTGCTTTTATGTAAAATTGTAGGATTTCAAAATGTCATGTAATCAAATAAAAAGTGCATCTATACATTCCATCCTGCACAGCTGATCACAGCACTTTATGCATCAAATTATATCCCAGGCAATAAAGCTGAACTTATTCACATCCCATGGGCCCTTTCTTTTTCAAAGCTGTATTTGTTGTTACTCTGTTGTGTGCCCGAGGCTGCCTCCATGATATATCTGAAAAAGTAAGTTTGGGAACAAGTCAGTGAACTTAACCCGCTGTGGACCTATTTTATTTGTAAAACATCACGCTGAAAGCAAGACGGAAGGAAAACAAACCAGCGCAATATTTATTCTTTATTGCCAATCTTAAGGGTCTGAAATAATGTAGCTACGTCTATATATCTAGACTTGAAGTCTCATGCATTGATTTACTGCCAACTAAAGTGGTTAACGAAGAGCCAGTTTTAACATACTGTAAGACACACAAGGCCAATCACCCTCACGTGTACATACAGCACCTAGAATGTAGAATACTATATACATACTATATACAGGGGGGAATCATTTTCCAATCACATAACGTCTATTTAGTTTAAGAAAACTAATTGGACAATTTTGGTCAGATTACCATGTTGACATGTATTTCACAAGTCACTCTGGTCAGGCATACAAATAAAATGTGTAGTTTTTAGAATATGATATGATATGATACATTTTAATATGTGAGTACCTACAACCCAGCTACTGGTTCTCTGTGTGCCAAACGTACCTCCCTCGACAGTAATAACTACCCAAGTTGAAAACGAGAAATGCTGAGGTCTTGTTTGTGCGATGACATTTACCAGGTTGGCTGTGGGGGTGACTGAAGGAAAAGACTGTCACCCCCATGTAATGAAGTCTTTTTTAACTTGCGTGACCTTATCAAGCAACACGATGGTGGAGATTCTAGATATTTTGAGCGACTCACCTAGGCTAAAAGTCCAAATGGATTTAGTTCACATTAGACTAGACTCATATCCAGATCCCGATCCAGTATCTCGTATCCAGACGGTATGATTTATTGTCTCTTGCATATCGAAAACACTGTCTCACGACATGACGGCTGTTGTCGTCGTGGACACCAGAGGACATGTTCTTCAGTGGTCATCAAAGTCATATATCTCTATGAAGTAAGCACAAGGAGTGGCATTGAGCATCTGACAGTGAAGAATGGGTTGGTCTAACTTCCAGATGTTGAACACACGTGGATGAAACTCGTTTGGATGGCATGGACCCAAGTCAGATTTTCAAGAGAAGTTATAGCTGCTTGACGAGTTAATAATACGGTAATACATGTTGGAGCCCAGAGCATCCCGGAAAACGTGTTTGAATAGAAAAGAAAGGAAAGGAAAGGAACGTTTGGGGCTCTAGGACCCGGGGGAGTGTGAAGCGCACATGGCAAAGTGTTGGTGCTCTGTTACTAGACGGGTGGCAAGTCCGCGGTTTGACTCCACTCTCCAATATCCTCCTGCTCAGCCTTTACCGACGCCTTCAAAGATTGCTCTCACACGAGCCACACAGACACGCAAAACACTTCCCTAACACATGCTTTGGGCGTTCCTCCTCCACGGACACACACACTGTTGCCTGCTCTAGGCTGGTTGCTGAAAGGAAAAGTTTTTGACAGCTTCTTTGTTGGAGTGACAGTCCGGTGAAGACCTTTTTCGCGTCTTTTTTTTTTCTTTTCCATTTGCTGTGAGCCTCTCTGAGGTGTCTCCATCCTGTCACCCGTGTGAAGCATCTGGAGGCGCTGCATCAACGGTGCCTGACCGGAGCTTGTTCCCCGTTTCACGCCCCCCCACCCCCCACCCCCACCCCCACCCCTCTCCCCCGAAACGAACCCGGGCAAGATGAGCTGGAGGCGGCGGAGGAACTTCGCCTTCCTGGTGTTGACTCTCCGCGTATGGTGCCTGTCCACGGCCGCAGAAGAGGCTGACAGCCAAGGTGAGAACGCTCCAAATAAATGTTTAACGTTGCTCTCAATTGACATTTTGTTCATTGCTCACCTGGTGCTCCAGATATGGAGCCCCAACCAGGTCACCATGCGTAATTTGTGCGTAAAGCGTTTGTAAAGTCATTGTCATGCTGTGTGGCGAAAGCAAAGAAAGGCAGAAAGGAAGGAGGGGTTTTTTCTGTCTTTTTTATTTATTTATAATTTGTATTCAGATGGAACAATAAAGGGAAGTGAGGCTGCTGTCGGATGTACAGATGAGTTTAACATCCAGGAGGATACAGCTTCATCTCTGGGTTGTAAACATGAACCAAAACAGGATCTTGTTTTTCGTTCAGCTGCTAAATTTAATCTGATGAGTGGATAAGACAGCAACAACTGTGCGCACGAGGCAGCACTGTGTCACCAAACGCAAATATTTTCTTGTCAGACAAAATGTCAGATATCAAACAAGAAATAGTAAGATTAGGCTTTGTAAAGGACAAGAGGATAATCGGTTTTTATGAGGCAGCTTTGTCTATAAATGAGGCCAAATAACTGCCAAAAACAATTTCTTGGCAAGACAATGAAGTACTTTCATTTTAAGCTCATACTGCTTTTTTCTTTAAAATGCACATCCTGATAATTGTTACATACTTAGTACTAAGAAAAGCAACGCAGGCGATGTATGATTAATAGTATCACTAATTCTGATCAATCGCCCCTTTAAATTATCCAAAGACTGAGCTCAAGAGATGTTTTCTGAGCCCAGCGTGGGGTCATTAAAGCTTTCACTCACACGGTTGGCCCATGTATACATGCAGGGAGTGAAAATAGTTTTAAAAAGTAGTGTTGAGAAAGGGCAGACTCTTTGATGTCAGCATGATATTGACTTCTGCCTCTTTCTGAGATGCTTATCTCAGCCGTGCTCCACCTCAGTGGAGGCTGTGCTACAATGTCTGGATCACGCTGCAACTTGTGGACACTACACATACACACCTTGAGCTATACTCAAGAAAAGTTAAGGAAATACTGAAGGCCATATGCACATGGGCGTTTTTGGATGGTGTTTTAATGGTTCTTCAGGTACTGAGTCAGAGATGTTGGCTTGTGCAGCGCTTCCTGTGGCAGTCAGGTTCATTAGATTAGCAGCACACTACAGAAACATGACCAACCGAGGACACACACATAAGACTCAGCCTGCAAGTGAGTTGGCGGTCTGCTTGCCACTGAGGTATCTGCCTATGGGAGAGCTGGGAGAGCTGGGAGCTTGCAGAGTGAAGCCTCAGCCAGGCAGAGCAAGCCTCCAATGGGCTCGGAGAGTGCCACGCCTTCTGGCTTGGCCTTGCTTTTGCTGTGCTCACTCTGCGTGCTCATGGATTAGCATGAGTTTTGACCATGACAGTCTGGTGTACCACTTTGCAATATGCAAGCAAACACGCTTTATGCTGCCACCCACAGCTCCCTGAGTGATATGAAACTTGCTCAGCCTTGTTTCGACCGGGTTTTCCACCCCACTTGCACCATCCTCCCCTCAGCTTGTTAGCTTATCACTTCAAATGTTCCTTGTAGCACATGCAAAATGAATGTGCAGCATAATGCAAGCAGGTTTCTCTGATGTGCAACTTGGTTAAAAGATTGGAGGAGAGGGGATTTGTTGGTCATATGATAGTGTCTAGAAAAAGGCCTGCCTCACGATGCTTTTGAGGGATACAGCGAGGAACCCTGTCTTTGCTGCAGTGCTAATGTTATAATATTATATTAAATTAGATATTATTTTAGTGGCTATAAGACATTTGGCTTTTTTGGACAATTGCTACTGCAGCAAATGTCTTAATAGTCTGATGGTAGAGTCACAAAGTCAGAAAGGGGTTTGATTTGGGAAAAAAGAGAAAAAAGACAGGGGTTTGATTGACAGCGTTCTTATACAAAGTAGCACTTTGACAAATAGTACCTCTGTTTCCTACTTCCAAGGAAAAAATCCCAGTTATTTAATTTAAACAAACTAATCGCCCCATTCAATTAAACCAATTCAATGTTTTAATAGTCTGTTCTTTTATTAAAGCGTAACTCAATTGTAACTTTAGCTGTATCAGTGCAGAAAACAGAGAAAGTTTCGTAAGGTTTTGGGAGATAATCTTTTAAGGATTTCTCCTGACAGTTAGTACTGTTGGACATGAAAACATTTCCCGTCTCACCTCCTGCAGTAATGTAGTCGTTCCCTTTAATCTGACAGCAAAGCGTTGCCTGCGTATCAGAATAAAGACCGCAAACACAATAGCTCTGTTTCCATGCACCAGTTCTAAAGCCACATCCACAGATCTTTGGCGAAGGGACTTTTTCTTTCTGCACTTTCAGTCAGCTCTCCTGCTCACATGCAAAATATTATTTTCAGTCAGAAAAAAAACTTTCTAAAGGGAAGCTTTTGAAAAACTAGAAATGTTTGATAACTTAAATTTGAGTCTGTCTGTGTGAGCACGTAGAACAGTGAAACCACAGCCTGCCTCTTACTTTGTCTACATGTGTCTTCTTGGCACAGAGCAATACAAACTGTAAAGAACTGTTTTCATTATTTCCATTTTTTGGAAAAGACTAAATTAATTTTCTTGGTAATGTTTTCTGATGAAATTTAATTTTAACCTTTACCTAAAATCTTCATCAAAACATGAATACCAATGCTAATATATATGATTGAATATCTATCATTTTCTTGTTAACACAGTTGATGTTATATGGGTGACCTAAACAGCACTTTTAATGCGACACAACTCTGTGGATTGATCAGTCTATACACGTTGCAGTGGGTTCATTTGCTTTTCAAAGGAATCGAGCAAAGTTCTTCAAAGTTTCTTTTCCTGCATTTTATTCAGAATGTCTAAATGAGCTAAATGAGAGGAAAGCAAAGCTACTGTGTCATGTTTGAAGAGACCGTTTTTATTTAACATGAATCATTTATATTACATACTGAGCACCTGTGAGAAATAACAAATGAGTTACATTTTTTATTGAACAATTTGTGAGCTGAACACAAAACTCATTTTTATTAATAAATGTTTAGCCATGGCGGTTTTGGCTTAATAGTGGCCCAAATTCACTGCAAATGGTTACTTAACCTAAGCCAGATTTGTGACGGGTGTGTTGCCAGATTGAGTGAAACTTGGACGTGAGCCATGAGTTGACTCCATCCCAAAGCTAGCCCGAATCCTGCTGACTGAAATGGATTTTCATCCAAATTCTTCACCAGCCCGAACTGCCACTGCTTCTTCCACTGCCAGCCATAGATGGCCCAAAGCTGACTTGCATTCGATCCTTCTGTGCCAGATTATGTCTGCGTGTGCCAGCACTTCAGCTGCAATCAGATAGCTGGCCAGTGTTCAAAACCTGTTGTGTTAGCAGTTACTGAAGTAACCGATGCATCAGAAAAGAAGGACTTCCTCTGGACGCATTTTGAAGATGTTCTGTTCAGTACACCCTGTCTTTGAAGCGAGCAATAATAGACTAAAGGATGTTTTTGAAAGAAAATATCTTATAATTGTAAGTCTCATCGGCATTAAAAAAATCAGCAAAGAAAAAAGTGATGTGATTAGTAATCTGGACAGCAGCCTCTTCATTAGAGCCCAGAGTAGTATCTTAATGAGAATTCACCACCTTTGAGAAAAATATGTTTGTGTTTGTATCTGAATGTTATCTATGTTTTAGAAGTCAGTTGCAAATATAAAAGGATTCCCATAAGGGGAAGAATCAATCAATCTGTGTTTACAAGTCTGTCTGTGGCTCTCAGTCTGTAAGTCTATTTGTTTCTCTTCTGCATATCAACTGATTTTTTTATTTTTGTTATTTGTTCTGGTTGTAAGAAATTCAATAAATAATTAGCGACAGACCCAAATGGCCTGGATTAGATTCAAGGATATCAACTGGTCAGGCTGCACCATCAGACAGAAATAATTGGAAAGATTGTAATGTCTTTGTTGTCTAAACAAACTGGGGGGAAAGAAAAAAAACACTGGCCTGAGACACCAAGAAATTTACACCGACTCCCCTCAGTCTTGGAAGAGTATTGCACGGCTTTCCGCGCACTTACCTGGGAAGTAACTCAAACCCATTGTCCAGTTTGTGGTGGAATGCTGACATATGACTGCCATTCAAGTTTAAAAAGGCCTGGAGAAAAAAGCCCGTTCTGTTAAACCCATTCAGGAAATAACCTCACCCCGGTTTATCTTTCAGACCTCTGGGGTAGCTGTTACTTGACATTTTGAGGACAGGCCGGCATTGATTTGTTGGCCAGGAGGGAAGGATGAGCACAGTTTGAAACGTCTCCCTCTGATAAGCATCATTGGTCATTACAGCCATTACAGTGATTTAGCGTCCTCTCGCTCCACCTCTGGTTGACAGTTACAGATATAACGGATTAGATGATGTTGTGAGACGGCATCGTAACACGATATAACCCAGACTGATGGAAAAAACACTAACAGACACCAATGGAGTAGTGCCCCGAGGACCTCCCCAAGCTATTAGTGAGGAGGTGGAGAAAAAGGACAGGTGGGAAAACCAAGTGAATATGTAAGAGGAATATGGTAAAGGGAGAGAGCTGGAGACAATCACCTGCACAGCCCTGATAAACAGCAGTGGGTCAGTCACGTGTGTGATGGATGAGGGCGAAGGCATTCGCTCTCAATCTACATCGAGCAAAGAGAGCCAGGTGTGAAGGCAGTGCCCTGCCTCTGGCGCAGCGATCGAATGTGCCATACCTCCCGTGAAGTGCTTGTTCTTTTGTCAACAATTTAATCTGAGTGGAGAAGGGAAAAAAATGCTTTAAATCAAAGGGAGCAAGAAAGGAATAATGAATAGGTGTCAAAAAGACGAGAACACGGTCCCTCCTGTTGCAGCTCATCTTTTAAAGGCAAGCTGCACACGTTTACTCTGCATTACAGAGTGACAGCACATATTTAGATTTGAGAGAGGAGCAAACAAGCAATTAGCAGTTCTCACATTGAAATGGAGTGAGAGGCTGGAGGTGTAGCAGAACAAAAAGGGACTACTTCCACTAACACACGCGCGCTCACAAGCTGGAGAACACAGGAGTTCTCCAGAGCAGGAGCTGTTTGTTTCTTTTCCTCTGA